CCGCCCGCCCGCCCGCCCGGCGCCACGGGGCCCGCGGCCTACCTTTTGCATAGCAGTTCGGGTTCACTGAATGGTTCGCAAAACGGATTTTGTTGCCCTTGCGCGTTGCGTCCACCACAAAATCTAAAGAGGAAGAAACCGCGCGCCCAGCGGGCTCTGGGTTTGGGGCCGTGGGCACCGCTCGCTGGCCAACTCCCCGGCCCTCGGGACTGGTGAGCTCTGCCTGCGCACTGAGCACACTGCAGCGGGAATCGCGCTGCTTTCTCCACGTTGGATACTAACTTTGCCCCCAGTGTTTCTGGAGGCTCAGGCCTGGCGGCACCCCCCTGGGGCCTCGAGCTGCGCCCCGAACACCCCTCACACCACCGAGCCAGGAGGGGCCCAGAAGGCAAGGCGGGGAGCCAGGGGCCCCAACCTCACCGACGTACCATTGTTCAAGTTGAACAGGAAGCTGCACATGTATTTATCATACACTTTCCCTCTTCTGTCTGCCTCATCTTGAGAAATAATCTACAAAGAAAGGCGGGCGCAGTCGGTTTCCGGGGTGATCGAGCAGAGTCGCCCCAACCCCCGCGGCGAAGGCTTGTCAGTCCGTCCCCTCGGTTTTAAGTTTCCACATCCGAGGAACTGCTTGGAGAGTCGCACAGACAGGACGTCTGCACGCCCCTGCCGACAAGCGCTGACCGTGCGCGAGTGGGACTGACCGCGGGAGCGGCCCGGAGCCCGGGCCCGGCCTCACCTCGCCGCAGTACTCGGAGATGAACTCGTTCTTCTGCACCGGGTCTTTGATGAAGATGCCCCAGCCCGCCACGTCAGACGGCGCCAGCAGCAGGTGCTACAGGGGAGAGACGCACCGGGCTGCTGTGAGCGCCGAGCACGCGCGCGCACCCCGCACCTCTGCGCTCCCACGGCCGCCGCCCCGCGGGACATGTCACCTTCACACGGGGACCTCGAATCTGGCCGCGGGAAGGGCCCCGGGGAGCCGCCCCCTCTGCGCGGGGAGGCTGCCATCACCGCCGTCGCGACCACACGGACGAGGGCCCCGGGCTCGCTGTCTGGGCACGCGGAGACCGGCGCCCAGGCCCGCCCACACCCACCTTTTTGGAACCCCGCTGGATGCTGCAGTTCTTGCAGGACACGTTTTTGCTGTCCCAGTGGTCAGCGGCGCCACAGGTGAGGCAGAGGTCGGGGTCGCACTCGCGGACGGCCAGGTAGCAGGGGCACTGCTTGGTGTTGCACTGGGCTTTGCAGCGGCATCCGGGGAAGCGGTTCTGGCCTGGAGAGGGAGGGAGGGAGGGAGGCTCCTGTCACAGGCATCGGAGCAGCACGGCCCAGGTGCCGGGTGGGGCCGCCTCCTCCCCTGGGCGGCTGGACAGTCTCCGCCCCCGCGGCCCGCCCTGCCCGCCGCTCCCTCGGCGGCCACACGGGTTTCCCGGAGGAAACCAGGACGCTGCCGCCTGCGCTCGCGTCCGCCCCCGTGCAACAGCAGGAAGCAACACTTACATTCTGAGCTACACTGACAAAACTTTTCACAAAAGTTTTGTGCGATCACACAAGGGCAGGAGCTGTCGCAAGGCTGCCGAGGGTGGTCACAGGGCTGATAGTTGTAAACGTGGTTGGAGGAGCCGTCTGGAGAGACAACAGCGTGCACGTCAGTCACCCTCGGCGCAGGCCCGGCTCGCCCGAGTACCCCAAACTACTGCAGCTGCTGCCCGAGACGCGAGAAGGCGACATTTTTAAGTTACTGGCGAAGTTAAGCGGAAAGACGCTCACCCTTCTTCAGCTGTATCTTTCGGCAGTGAGCAGCCCACAACCTGCGAGAGGAGAAAAGGAAGCCATCTTCTCCGGGGGCGGGAGGCCGCAGGCGCCCCCACCCCGCTGCTCTGACGCGGCGCCGGGCCTCGGCCCCCAGGGAGTGCCAGGAGACACCCAGGGAGACTCACCTGTGTTTCCTCTTCTTCTTCCGAGGGGGGGTGTCCACGTCCTCGGCGGGGGCTGGGGCGATGATGCTCGACTCTTTGACGCGAAACTCATACACCTGCCGAGTGAGAGAGCTGTGAGGTGCTGGCTGGCCAACAGCGGCCGTGCCGCGGCCGGCTTCCCCAGGGCGAGGGACAGGCCCTCCCTGGCCAGTGCCGTGTCCGAGCAGGGGCTGCACCGCCCTCCCGAGCCCCGTCTCGCCCGCTGGCCACGCGCACCTGTCTACATGTTTTGGTCCCGATTAATCTAGCGATGGCGCAGAAGTTGTCATAGTAGGTGCCGATGAGAACCCTGAACATGGAGGCCTCAGCCCCGCTCCACTCCACGTTCTCGGGAGGCTCAGCATTTGGCTTCATCTTTATCGGCGTTTGACACCGAGAATTCGCTTCTGCAACGTGGAAGTCAGGCGCTGGCATGACACGCAGGCGACAGACCAGCCCTGACAGCAGGCCTCGGCCCGGACTTGGGGCTGCCCCGACGCCCCGGGGCGGCTCTCCCCGAGACAGGCTGCGACCCGGCCGCAGGCCAGCCGAGACCCTGCACCGCTGTGCCTCAACCCCGGCTCCACCCGGCCATCGGGGCTGCGGCCCCGTCTGGAGAAGACGCGGGGTGACGGCGGCACGAGAGCGAGGCTGAACGGGATCGCCGGCGGCAGTGACCCAGGCGAGCAAACAGCGCGGGCAGGGGCGGAAGACGCGGCGGGCCGGCCCCCCGCTGCCCGTCAGTCTCACCGGAGGAGCTGGAGGTCTCATCTTTCTTCTCCTCTTCCTCCTTATCGTTGTTCTCCCCGCCGGTCTCGGTCCCAGCCTCCCGGTCGCTGTCTGTGTCCTTCGACTCCAGCACGTTGATGGTGGGGGTGCTGGGGCGGCTGCTGTTGTTGGGGAGTCGCCCTCTCCTGCGGCCCCCAGGGCGCTTCGGTGGGGTCTTGATCCGCTCAGCCGTCAGGGCAGCAGCGAACTCCTTCGCTCCCTCCTGCCGAAAGAAAAATGTGGACGCCGGGTCAAATGCCAGGACTCCTTCGAGAAGGAGGGAAGCAAACCCCGGCAGGGGCGAGCGAGTCGAGGCGCGCCCAGGAAACCCCGCGCGCCGGCAAGCCGCGTGCACACGTTGTTCTCCGCATGCTGTGGCCGGCTGGAAAAGTTTAGGCAGGTGCATCTGAGTTCTGCAGAGGCTCAAGTGGCGCGAGGCCAGGCAAAGCGAGACGGCCCTGTTGGCGCGTCTCTGGTCGTCACTAGCAGACTGGCGTGGAGAACACTAACAGTCCATCTGAAGAGAACTTTCACAGAAAGGATCGTCTGCCTCGCTGCGAGACCCCACCCCTCTCTACAGCGACACTTGAAGCGCACCCCGAGGACCCGAGTCGGCGTGCTGGCAGTCACTCCTGCCGCCCGGTCAGCCAGCCTCTCCCGTGACGGCTCAGCCCCCAGGAAACAGCGGGGAGCAGCCGCGGCCGCATTCTGCATCACGAGGTATGACAACCCGGACGCGAAGCATGTACGTCGCTGAGGACACAGGTCACAGAGACCTCGGAATCGCATCGGTGCACCAAATACAGCTGCCTTGTAAAGAATACTACAAACAGTAAACTCCATTTTTCTTAAGTGGCAATAGAAGGGAGAAGTCTGAGAGCAGCCAACAGTTTAGACCTCTCTCTGCAAGAACAAGCCGCTTCTGCTGGTGCCTTTCAATGAATCTCTGTCCAAATTCCCACGGGCAATATCTACCCACTCAGTTCCTAGGTGGGGGTGGCTTGGTTCAAAGAGGGGAAATGGGAAAATAAGACAGTACCCCTGAAAGAACAGATTTCCTACTCCTAAACCCCCCTACCTTTTCTCCGTGACTTTAGGGGAAACCGCAGCTTGTAATAAAACAGCCGCGACAACTGTGGTTCTTGGGCGCCCGCACAGCCCGCCCGCACCCTCCGGCCCGCACCCTCCGGCCCGCACCCTCCGGCCCGCGCCCTCACCAGGTGCTGGTAACACTGCGGCCCGCAGGGCTTGTTGTCCAGGGCCGCCTCTGTGTTCTTCCTCTTGTAAGTGTTGGGCGTGGCGTGAAACGCTGCAAAGGAAGCGAAACAAAGTCTCCAAGAGCTGCGCGAGCTGCTCCCGCTTCCCGGCGCCGTCCAAAAGGGAGAGGAGTCCTCGCCGCAGCTCTGTGCCCCGCAGAGAAACTAAGCCCTGCGCTCTTGAGCGATTTCTAATTTTTCTCCTTGCGAACAAAACTGATACACAAAGACTCTACACTCTGATCACAACTACTGGAAAAACAGACAACCACCAATGATTCTCTGACATCTACTACTTCTTGATTTTTAAGGCCACGCTTGCTTTCTACAGGAGGGCGCAAGCAGCTTGGCGGGGGGCAAGAACCAGGGCACCCCGTGTTCTTGGAATCACACGCGTCAGAGACCTCATAAGAACCTGCAGAGTCCTGACCTCCTCCCAGAAAGATACCAAAGTGTTTGATGCCCAGAACTAGGTGACTGATCAAGAAGTGATACATGTACACAGGGGGACACTATCAGCCATCAAAAACGACAGACTCAGGCCATCCGCAGCACCGGGGTGGAGCGGGAAGGGATCACGCTCGGAGGGTTTGCGAGACCCTAGTAAGATGGGGCAACTGTTAGAATACAAAGCAAAGCAAAACCATAGAAACACAGATAATTATAAACCAGAGAGACCCCACAGGGGTGGGGGCTCGGGTGATGACGGGGGGGAGTAAACTAGAACACTGTTATAAAATGAACAGTAATGTAAATAGATAAAAAATAAGCTAAAGTATTTGAAACGTGAAACTCCCAAAGCTTGTGCTAAGAGGAGCCACAGCGGAGACCAAGGCCTTTCGGGGACCTCGACTGGCATAGAAAGGGTGCTGCGCCCACAGAAGGAAACTATCTGCCTGTTCTGCCCCCACTCCAGTGAAGCCTCTCACTCCCCCACACCGCTGGCCTGTACCCCAGTTCTTGGATGCATAAATAATAAACCTCTAAGGAAAACAAACGGGTCCCTGGACCACCAACTTTAAAAAAAAGAAAACCAAAACTACGACTTGACAGTTCTGGCACCCCACAGCGGAGCGTTCACATCAGCACACGTTTTCCAGCCGATTCCCCGGGTGAGTCTGCTCCGGGCCCTGGCACGCGCAGCGACGCCTGGCGGCGGCGGCCGCAGCGGGCGGGCACTTACGGTGCAGGAAGCAGTCGTACTTGAAGCAGCGCCGGCAGAAGAGCGTGTGGAACGAGTGCAGGCTCTGCTCCCGCTGCACGGACTTGGCGTGAGGCCCGTCGATGTTGGGGGTGCACTCGGGGGGCAGCGCGCCCGGGAGCTGCTGCTCAGTGAGCTCCTTGTACCTGCGTCACGGGCACACACAGGGACAGGTGAGCCAAGGTCCCGTCCCGAGCGGGCTCTGCTGGGTCTCCTCTGCTGCTCAGCCTGCCTAAGACACGACAGGGCAGCGCCGGCCGGCAGCCGCCCAGCGGAGCGCGCCTGGCGTGACGCAGCTCGCGACAGGGCGGCGTCTTCCTCTGATCCATCGCCACAGCACTGTTTCCGCACTCTGCAGATCTTCACACGTCTCAGTGAGGCGTGTCTGTGCCCCCAGGGACCCAGAGCCCGCACGCGCCCAGGGCAGCGCCAGGGCCCCCAGCCCCGTGACGCCACACGAGGCCGCCCCGAGCAGTCTTACTTTTCTTTCAGTTCTTCTGCTGTGCCCTTATCTGGAAACATTGAGGAGATGGCTTCAAAAATTTTATCTGAAGGAAATTTTCGAGGTGGCCGGCTTTCTTTATCTAAATAGGGCAATAGGAAAGGACACAGAAGGAAAGATAAGTTTCCAAGCTCTTCGCATAACTGTATCTGAACAGCTGCTTTTCTCAGAAATCATCCACTTGTGTCTCACCTACTTCTAATGTATTTTTACGTGTGTCTGTGGAATTCTGGCAGGTCAAGCTTAAAACTCGAACTGCTGGGCCTCCAGGGGCGCAATGGGGTTCAGCGCAGCACTGTGCAGCTGGAAACAGCCACTGCAGTGCGAGTTGAATCCCCGGGCAGGGAGGGACCCCCAGGGCACAGCAGGCCTCTCCTGTCGCCCCACTGCTCCTCTCAGCAGTGGGCTTCCGTCAATCTGCCTGTCCTGCCCCCATTCTGTCTCTGGTGAATCCGCTCACCGTCCTGCACCTCTGGCCTGTACCCCAGCCCTGTATGTGTAAATGAATAAATCTTAAAAAAAACAAATCCAGCTATGCGACAGAACACTAGGAGGAAGCCGGGTCCTAGCCACAGCTCCGCTGCTCCCTGGCTTGGCGCCCGTGGCGGGCACCGCCCCTCGCCCGTAAGATGAGCGAGCTGAACTCCACGGCCTCTCAGTGCCTGCCTGACAACTGCAGCTTCCCCAAACCCGTCCGTGCTGGCTAATAACCAGCTCTGCTGAGCCTCCTGAGGTGCGGGCCCTCTCGGGGCCCACTGTTTCCCAAGGAGCCACAGCTAGCGCTGGCTTGAGGGGCGTAAGTCAGGCCTGGCCACCCCAAGGCATCCTGGATTCTTTTTCAGCCTGCGATAGTCACTTCACCGCTGCACAACCATCTCGGCTGTGTGAGGCCTGGGGGGACCCTGCCCGAGCGAGGACAGGGCTGCGGCAGCCAGCCACGTGCCATGTGCAGCACAGGGTGATGACACGCCCCGCCCCCACCCCAGACTCTCTGGCTAACCAAAGGAAATCAAGACGCTCAAGTGAAAGGTAGATGTTACAAATCACACCCTAGCTTGGACCACACTATAATCCATGTATCTTCAACAACAGAAAAAGCAAAGAGAAAGATGGAATCAAGATCTCCTTGCATCGACTGTTTGGGGAGGGGAGGGGCGGGG